AAGCACATATTTGAAAGAAGTTCAGATGTCATTTAAAATATCTGCTGTATGTTCTGGCACAAAAAATGGAGAAGACATTTAAAATGTGTTCCAAGTGGGTTTCAAATATCCTTTACAATTCGTTTGAGATGTGTTCAGTGTGTGGAGAAGAACAATATACAAAGGTAATTCAAAGAAAATTAAAAATTCCTCCTGAATGGTTTCGGCCTGAACATGTGAAACTTCTCTAAAGGTTTTTAAATATAAACTCTGTGTACATCTAGGCCATCTGTCGAGGACATTTTCAAAATCTTCTGGGTGTCTGTGGCACAGATACCATGGGAACATTTAAAATGTATCGGGCATTTATAAACACAGGACATCTGAGAGATGTTGTGACCTTTGGACACAATATGTTCAGGGTGCCTTCTGGGAGAGATGGGGATAGTTTTGTTAATTATATGGTAGAGGATGTACGACAGATATTTTAAATCATCATGATGCGCAGCAATGAGGATCTCAAAGTCAGGTATAGAAACTGTATATAAGGACACCTGCACTTGAGGGAGTGACAGCGAATCACGCCCACGTGGGTTGAAGACTGGAAAGTCCCAACTAGTTGGTTGGTGAGATTGTGTGCTCTGTTTTGCCTTAAGGCAATAGCTCAGTAGAGTCTGCTTTATGGTGCGTGAATATACCTGTGAATTGATATAAACTCATTGGCCTTGAAGTTTGAAGTCGCAATTCAGTGAGATTGCCGGCCTTGGAAGGACTGGTAGGGGCTTCAAGATCTTGTAGTGCCTTCTGGACCCAGAAACAATTCTCAGACGCTGGCTGTTTGGAGCAAAAAATAAAGCTGCTTGAAAGGTGTCAGACAAGATTTATGAAGCAATATTCTTTGGATGCAAGGATTTGGGAGCTCTCAAGAAAGGTGTCCGAAGCAATATTCTGTGTGGAGGAATCATGGGCAATACACTTGGGGTTTGAAACCGCTGGGGAGATGCAGAAAGGAGCTTCAAACCTCAGCCTACCATTTCTCATACAACATCCCCTGAGCATGTTAAAGCCCCAGCAAGATGTTCATGGGCACACACAATATTGCTTCAGACCGTGGTTTGAGGCCGAGGATTGTTGCACCTGAGGAACATTGCTTCAGGCATCTCGTTTGACACCTGCTAATCAGCTTGAAACCTTTGCTTCAGACACCAGGTTTGAGACCAACCAAGCACATCAAGGGCTTGAGCATTCCAGCATCCAATGAAATTTGTTTCAAACAACATGTTTGAGATGAAGCCCCTGGCTTGAAACCGTGGGATGGTGTGGGAGATCCGGAAAGGACCTTCAAAGCTCAGCCTACTATTTCTCATATGACATCCCCTGAGCAGCTTGAAGCCCCAGCAAGATGTTTGGGGACACATACAATATTGCTTCAGACCCCTGGTTTGAGGCAGAGTGTTGTTGCACCTGAGAAACATTGCTTCAGGCACCCCGTCTGACACCTGCTAATCAGCTGGAAACCCTCAGCAGACATTTCGGTGCTCACAATATTGCTTCAGACACCAGGTTTGAGACCGACCAAGTACATCAGGGGCTTGAGCCTTCCAGCATCGAATAAAAGTTGCTTCAAACCCCATGTCCAAGATGAAGTACCCGGCTTGAAACCGCTGGGGAGATGGGGCAAGGAGCTTCAAGCCTCAGCCTCCCATTTTTCGGACGAGATCCCCTGGGCAGCTTGAAGCCCCAGCAAGATGCTCGTGGACACACACAATATTGCTTCAGACCCGTGGTTTGAGGCCGAGTATTGTTGCACCTGACAAACATTGCTTCAGGCACCCCATCTCACACCTGCTAATGAGCTTGAAACCCTTGGCAGACATTTCTGTGCTCACAATATTGCTTCAGGCACCAGGTTTGAGACTGACCAAGCACATCAAGGCCTTGGGCCTTCGAGCATTGAATAAAAGTTGCTTCAAACATCATGTTCAAGATGAAGCACCTGGCGTTAAACTGCTGGGAAGATGCGGAAAGGAGCTTCAAACCTCAGCCTACCATTTCTCGTACAACATCCCCCAAACAGCTTGAAGCCCCAGCAAGATGTTCATGGACACACATGGTTTGAGGCCGAGTGTTGTTGCGCCCGAGAAACATTGCTTCAGGCACCTCGTCTGATCAGCTTGAAACCCTCGGTGGATATTTCGGCCCTCATGATATTGCTTTAGACACCAGGTTTGAGACCTGTCAAGCAGATTGAGGGCTTGAACATTCCTGCCCAGACGAGATATTCCTTCAGACACCAGGTTTGAAACCTGGCAAACAGCTTGTACCCTCAGCTGAACATTCCTGCCCACAGAATATTGATTCAGATACCAGGTTTGAGACCTGCCAGATAGATCGAGGGCTTGACCATTCCTGCATGCATGGGATATTGCTTCAGACACATCAGGTTTGAGACATGCCACACAGATTGAGGGGTTCAACACTTCTCCACATGGAATATTGCTTCAGACACCAGGTTTGAGATCTGCCAAGCAGCTTGAAACCTCAGCTGAACATTCCTGAATGCACAGAATACTGCTTCAGACACGTGGTTTGAGACCCGGTAAGCAGATTGAGGGCTTGAACATTCCTGCAGGCACAGGAGATTGCTTCAGACATGTGGTTTGAGACCTGGCCACCAGCTTGAGACTGCAGCTGAAATTCCTGCACACATGGAATATTGCTTCAGACACAAGGGTTGAGACCTGCCAAGCAGTCTGAGGGCTTGAACATTCCTGCATGCATGGGATATTGCTTCAGACACCTCATTTGAGACCTGGCAAGCAGCTTGAAACCTCATTGGAACATTCCTGTCCTCAGAATATTGCTTCAGACACCAGGTTTGAGACCCACCAAGCACATCAAGGGCGTGAGCATTGCTGCACCCAAGGAAATTTGCTTCAGACACCATGTTCGAGGTGCTTGAAACCTTAGCCGGACATTCCTGCACACAGGATATTGCTTCAGACCCCAGGTCTCAGGTGAAGCAGATAGAGGGCTTGAACATTGCTACATACATGGGAATATTGCTTTAGACACCAGGTTTGAGACCTGGCAAGCACATCAAGGGCTTCAACATTCCTGCACCCAGCTTGAGACCTCAGCAAAATGTTCGTGGACATGGACTATTGCTTCAGACACCTGGTTTGAGGTGGAAGCAATATCCTATGCATGCAGGAATGTTCAAGCCCTCAATCTTCTTGGCGGGTCTCAAACCAGGTGTCTGAAGCAGCATTCTGTGCATTCAGGAATGTTCAGCTGAGGTTTCAAGCTGCTTGGCAGATCTCAAACCTGGTGTCTGAAGCAGTACAGGAATGTTCTGCTGAGGTTTCAATTTGCTTGGCAGATCTCAAACCTGGTTTCTAAAGCAATATCTCATGTGTACAGGAATGATCTCACATATGCAGGATTGTCAAAGCCCCCTCAATCTGCTTGGTGGGTCTCAAACTTGGTGACTGAAGCAATATTCCATGTGCAGGAATGTTCAGCTGAGGTTTCAAGCTGCCTGCCAGGTTTCAGACCTGGTGTCTGAAGCAATATCTCGGCTGGGCAGGAATGTTCAAGCCCTTGATCTGCTTTCCAGGTCTCGAACCTGGTGTCTGAAGCAATATCGTGAGGGCCGAAATGTCCGCCAAGGGTTTCAAGCTGATTAGACAAGGTGCCTGAAGCAATGTTTCTCGGGTGCAACAACACTCGGCCTCAAACCACAGGTCTGAAGCAATATTGTGTGTGTCCACGAACATCTGGGTGGGGCTTCAAGCTGCTCAGGGGATGTTGTATGAGGAATGGTAGGCTGAGCTTTGAAGGTCCTTTCCGCATCTCCCACACCGTGTCTCCCACGGTTTCAAGCTGGGGCTTCATCTCAAACATGTTGTTTGAAGCAAATTTTATTGGATGCTGGAATGCTCAAGCCCTTGATGTGCTTGGTCGGTCTCAAACCTGGTGTCTGAAGCAATATCCCATGGGCCAGAATGTTCAGCTAAGGTTTTAAGCTGCTTAGCAGGTGTCAGACGAGGTTTCTGAAGCAATTTTTCTTGGGTGCAAGAATACTCAAGCCCTTGATGTGCTTGGTGGGTCTCAAACCATGTGTCTGAAGCAATATTCTGTGTGTCCACAAACATTTTGCTGAGGTCTCAAGCTGCTCGGGAGATGTCAGACAAGGTGTCTGAAGCAATATTACCCGGGCGCAAGAGTGCTGACACTGTGAGGGTGCTACGCACCCTACATGTGTCACGACGGACTTACCGGCACCACACGACTTCGGGACAAAGGAATATCCAGATTGGGCTTCCTGCTTGCCGGAAATGGACAACGTCCGACCAGGCCATTCGACCCTTCAGCTATCCTTAGGACACCGTGCGACTGTTCACTGGGGCTGAACGACCGTCCTCTCGGGCCATACCCCCTGACAGAAGCACCATGACACGACAGGAGACTTGTTCCGACAGGATCGCAACGCTCACTGAACATCCACAAGGGACGCTCTCTGCGGAGTCCTTTTCTTGCACACACACTGACTGGGAGAGCATCGAATCCATGTCCAGGATGGCTCTCCCGGTTGCCCACGCTTCCCATGCCTCTAGGAACCCCTGTAAACTCGCTGAAAAGCGGTTCGTCCCAGAAGGCCGTTCACCAATTCACATTCTGTTACCCACCTGAAACCATTGGACCCCGTTTCAGCCCCTCCTCGTCACATAACGCATGACCCAAAGGAGGTAGGGGGAAAGGTATAAAAGGGAGACGGGAACGGAGCTAGTAGTCAGTCGTTTACCCGCGGACATCGGTTCCCCCACACTGTTCCACAGTGTACCTTAGTCCACACCCAATAACAACCACTCACTTGCTTCACAGCTCTTTACTTCTAACCCCCTTGCAGCTTAAGTCCTTAAGCTCGCACTTTATACCCTTTTCAAAGCAACCCTATCCTCCTTCGCGAGCTCATGCTGTGAGTTTGATTACATGATCAGGGTGGCAGGTTAAAAGAATGGCAGCGCCAGGAATCAAACCCAGGCCTCCAGATTTCATGACTGGCGGCATAACCACTAGACTAAGCAGCCGTTCTTTGTGTCACAATATTACTCCAGCACACTAGGAACTGAAACAATGGAAACTCTTTAACGACAACAAACGATAACAATTGTGCCAGAGTAACACTTGAGGGGAGGCTTGACCAAGCCAACCCCTCACAACGCTCTGTTGAAAGTTGATAGCTAGCCTTGACCCATTGGCAAATCGTCGTCCCAGCCAAACATTTTACGCCTCAACACATTATCGTCCCTGCCAAACGAACCCAAGGAACGGCATCGAAGCCTTCTGCAGGAGATCGCACTTGTGTAATCCACACAACCTCCCGCTCGATCATTAGGGGGAAAAGCGAGAGAGGAAGCAAAGCGGAGACTTCGTACTGAAGAGCACCAGTACTCCGACCAGATAAAGGAAGGTTACAGGCCCTCAACCGGTTTATTCACACACACACTCTCTCTCTATGACCATCATCCTGTTGGGACCACCAACCCAAAGGGCGATCCAATAAGCTTTGCAATCCCCTCAAAATCATACTCAGAATCCCCTAGAGGACGAACAAGCTGTTGCGAGTGTAAACCAATTCACACACCAGCACCGCAGTCCCAATCACAACGCCCTTGATGTGCTTGGTGGGGCTCAAACCAGGTGGCTGAAGCAATATTATGTGTGTGGGAATGTTCAGCTGAGGTTCACGCTGCTTGCCATGTCCTGAACACAGTGTCTGAAGCAATATTCCTTGAGTGCAAGAATGTTCATGCTGTTGGTGTAGCCATCAGAGTGACAAAGTACACATGAAGCATCCTACTTACTCAGGGTGGGGTGAAAAGAAGACAAAAAATTCAACTTGCCATCAGTCCAGTGATCTCCAGCAGGTAGAAGTACTGGCATGGGCCAGTGCTGACTAATGCTGAATGCCACTATATTCCTGGAGAGAGTTGGTGGCATCTCAGATGTGCAAAAAGTCAGATCTGTGGGGGGGGGGGGGGGGGGGGGTCGGGTCGGGCCCAACCCAACCCAACCCAACCCTGCTTTCAAATGCTGTGCTGCAGCCTGACCCGACCTCCATCATAACATCTACAAACAACCGACTGTCTCTCACCACCCCACTTCCAGCATCCTCCCCACCCACTTCTAGGCTCTACTGATGTAACACGACCCTCTGCGCGACCTTTGGCGCACGTTTCCTCTTCGTCAAGGCCCAAGCTTTCCCATCGCCGCTACCTGATTCGAGCTTGTCAAAGCGTTGTCTGAGGCTCCAAGCGTCTCCTGGGGCCAATCAGCTGTCCCACAGCATTGCCTTGCACCTTAGTGGTCTAATGCTGGCCACTGTACATCTACCCTGTCATATGTTCCGCTTTGAATGCACTTTGAATGCGCTTTACACGCACTTTGGCCAGTCCAATGTACTTAAACCTATGAAATTCATTCTTTATTTCATTTCCACTTCTCTCTTTTTTTTTTTTTTTTTTTTTTGGTGGTACATTATTGGCCAAAGGCCGATGTCGATCCAACACAATTAACAAAGTTAACCTGGGGACCGTGTAAGCGTGAAGGAAGCGTGCCCTTCAAAAAAAGTGAGATGGGAGGACCACCCCCCAGGGAAATGTGTTTATGCATGCGGCGAGGATCGCCGCTAGTGTGGGACTCATGAAAGTGCTCTAATTCTGATTAGTATACGCTCTCGTCCCCCGGATTGGGGAAGACGGAAGAGGAGCAAAACCTTCTAGGCACAATACCCACTAAAACCCTGGGTTCTCGGAGCCAGTTATCTGGCAGTTTGTTCTCTTCGTGGAGGAGGCGACACCAAGTCTTGAGGACTAGGGACGGGATGGAGCGTTTCTGTCCTCTGGGCACAAATTCGGTGCCCATATAGCAGTCCATTTTTAGGCGGACGTTCAGGGTATGAGTCCATCTGTTCTGTATTTCATTGCTCGAGTGGGACTTCTCCTGAATCACGCGTTCACAACGGAGTTTCCAGATTAGGAAGGCGGACTCGGAGATCAGGATCCGGAAGAGCCGGTTGGTCCCCGAGGGTTTAGTCTTGCTCTCTTTCTCGAAAGCTGCCATCCCGCAGCCGAGGATCCAGCCCATAGACAGGGGCGGCAACTCCCCGAATTTTCTGGTCCACATCTGGCCGACAAGGGCCCATATCTGCGTTCTGGCTGGTGCAATACAGTCCAGCAGGATGTGGTCGAGGGATTCCTCTATGCCGCAGAGGGTGCACATCTCGCGGTCCTCGCAGCCCGGAATGTGCCTCCAGAACTTCCCAACACAGTGGGCACCGTGGATGCTCTTCCATAGGAAGGTCTTGACGCGACGTGAGAGATCGGGGCTATGGATGGATTTCCAGATCGTAGCTGGGGTAGGGGTGCACCGGAAAAGCTCTTCTGCCGCAGATTGTATTAAATTATGTTAGCCTCGGTGGCTTTACGAGATGGGGAGCTGTGGAACTCCTTGATGCCTCGGTACGCTAGGGCCTGGGTCAGGGAGGAGAGTTTTGCTCCCTCAATGCGGAATGCAGCGGGGACTGATAGTGCAGGTACGTGGGGTGTTTCAGACTTGGCTCCATGTTTTGCCAGATTGGTGGCTTGTGCTGCTGCATTACCCCCCGCTCCAGGGCTGAGGATGTGGAAGGTTGTTTTTGCTGAGCGGGCGCGTAGGTTTGTGGCCAGCGCTTGGAGGGGGGCGTGGGCAGGGATGCCGATCCATCCATTATCTTCCCAAACTTCTAACTTTTTGCCCATCGCACCGGCAATTGTCGTGCTTTGCATGTCAATCTGGAGATCCACGTCTGTAGGGGTCATTTGGACACAGCGGAGAGCTGCAAGTACCTCCGCATTTGTCCTCGACTGGGACTCATGGGGCGGTATTCTTATGGCCGAGTTCGCAGGGTCACCATTTGTTCATTTCCACTTCTCCAGTTTCTGCTTCCCAGTCATGAATGCAGCTCACCATGTCGACGATCCAATCATCACTCCTGTCCACTCATGTGAGAAATGCGGGATCGGTGTGATGGAGGCACCCCGCATTCACGAAGGCTCCAACAACCAGGGGGCTCGTGGTAAAATAGTTCAGACTGTAAGCTGCACCACTCCGACATCGAATCACACTGAAGCTAATCTAAATTTTCAGTGTAAAGGCTGCTACAAATCGCACTACCACACACCGGCATACATTTACTCCGACGCTCTCCACCTTCTCGTACGTACCAACGCTCGTCAACGCGGCGCCGCTATCCCTGCGGATTCTGTGAATGTCCCTCTCCGCTTCGCTGCTGAGGCTCCTCCTGAGCCCCCTCCTGGAACGATACATTGCGGAGTCGTCGGGTGCTCCACCAGAGATGGCACGCCTCAGCAAGCATCCCAAAAGTGCATTCAATATCAGTGCAAGAGCTGCTGTGTTCAATCTGGTATCGACGCAAAGCAGCAGGGCACCTACCGGGATTCTTGCAAGACGCATGGTGTCGCGGGAGCCAGAACTCGGAACATCTCCCACGCAAGTTTCCCTGTTTTGTCTGGAAGGTCAAAGCAATCCTTCAAGAATTCATGCACCTCGACGGGGAGAGTGGGAGGTGGTACAGATGCCTGGTGAGAGGGTTGGAGGTATGTGAGGACAGGAGCTGGTTTCAGAAGAGCGACAAGCTCAATGTATTTCATAACATTGGTATGAGAGAATGCGCGAGAGACTTCGGGAGATCAGGCGAGAGCATCATGGATATTCTTGAAGTCCATCGGAGAGGGGGTAGGTGCGGAAATACATAAGAACATTGATAGCATTTATAGAGAATTAAGAAACAAGAGCGAGACATTCCCTATCCAGTACGATAAAAGGGAAGGCTAGTGTGTGGTTACCGCCGCAGCATTGAAGGACAATAGGTAGTGGGTCGGGTTCAGTCCGGTCACTGGGCACAGCCTCAAGGTTGGGTGGGGTCCGACCCAACCCGACCCTCCCATGCCTCGGACCTTCTCCAGATGTGGTGTTTGAATTGTTTCCAGTGTCATTCCGGTGGGTGCCACCTTGGTTCCATTGACTTCAACGCCATTTGGACTTTGAATGCAGCTGTAGATACGGTTTCAACACTGTATTTGGCTGTATTTTCGACAGCCGGAACAGTGTACAGTACAGCAAAACCTGTCCTGTAGGATAGAGGTGTTGAAGGGGTGACAGGACAGTATGAGTGCCATATTATGGAACCCATATAACTGTCAATACGGTCCTAGTGATAAGCCCCAAAATTTACCATTCTTCAAAATGTGCTATAACAGCCATTTAGCATGCATCAGAGGACTGATACGAGCTCCAAAATGGCAATAAAACATAACACAGTCACTTACCAAGGCGATGTTGAATATCCACTCTGAGAAGTTTGGTTGATGTCCCAATGAGTACTGTGGTGTGTGATACCACCATGTTTGGTTGCATTTTGATGGTGTTCGCAACGTGACTAATCACGTGATCTGGTTATAGCATACCTGAGTAGCGGTTCTCGCTGAAGTAGGTTCAATGGGCTTAGTCAGGCTTAGTCAGGCTGCTGATCGATGGGGAAGCGCAACCTGCCTCGCACGTCACTTTTGATTCTCGAGCTAGCTTGGCTGTCCTACTAAATATTCTATCATGGCACACCAGGATTTTGTTTTCTCCTTCCACTCATTCCTCATCCCTCATTTCATTGGTACTCATACTATCCTCACCTTTTTTCTCTCAGATTTGTTTTCCGGTTCCTTGAACACAAGTTCACGCATTTGATTGTGAATCAACTCATCCGACACTTGAATGACAAGTCTTCATTTACCAAGGAAATATTTTATTATTGTGTTTGTAGACTTTACATTCCCATACTCATCCCTCTCATATCTTATACAGACACTATTTGTTTTGCACTACGTACCACCAACGCGAAGAGTTAAACCAAGTCCTCGGGCATCTCGGACTATGCCGGGGATTGATTTGAAGTGGATTGGGCACCCATCTTCAGCACTGAGCGGGGCGGCGTTAATCTCCCTATATGTCTTTGCGTACCTCGTTGACTCAT